GTTTTGCAACCATGAATGTGTTTAATGCAGTGGAACAAGCAGCCTAAATGCTAGGAATTTCATCATAGCTATGATCTGAAACATTATGTTCAAAACCAATCAGGATTGTGATGATGACAGTGATGATAATGACAGTGCTGTCAGGTAAAGTACATTTGTTTTGTCTGGAAAGGAGTTAACAGCTAGATGAATGTAAAGAAATAGCAGCGAGAGTATGATTCATTGATTTAGTCAAGTGTTTAGAGAGGGTCAAACTCTCTTGCTTAGTAGAGAAATCTGCAAAAACAAATCTTAAAATGAAGAAGAACATCATGTCCAGTAAAGAATTTCAGGGCTGCAACTCAACAATGTTGCAGACTCTTCCCCTTAGTAAACAATGGCATTTGCAAGACAGATAAGGGAGAAATCCACAGAGAAGAAATGATTGCAAACAGAGCACCCATGAATAGAATATAAGGCAGGGAAAGAAAAAGCAGAAAGTTGTGGGGGGGGGGGGCAATAATAATAATAATAATAATAATAATAATAATAATAATAATCTTTATTTATACCCCGCCACCATCTCCCCAATGGGGACTCGGAGCGGCTTACGTGGGGCCAAGCCCAGGACAACATGTTACAGCAAAATAAAATCAAAACATAAACAACAAGCAACATAATCAAAATTACATAGAAGGAAAAAAAAGAATAAACACAGTAACAAAATAACATTCCAATAAACACAATCACGATAACAGTGGGCGGGCCACATGTACAGGATGAAATGATTAAAAGACTCTAATGGGATAAAAAATAGGAGCAGGTTATTTGCAGGGAGCTCATGAAAACACATAGGGTTGTGAAACTAAACTTCCCATTTGGAGGGCATGTACTCCAGTGGCAGAAGCGTTGAGGGGAGCAATAGTATCATGTTGTGCACCTACTCACCAAAGGCACAGCGAAAGAGCCAGGTCTTAAGGTTCTTTTTGAACGTTTCTAGTGAAGGGGCTTACCTTATCTCTCCGGGTAATGAGTTCCAGAGTCGGGGAGCCACAGAGGAGAAGGCTCTCTCCCTTGTGCCCACAAGACAAGCTTGTGAGATTGGTAGGGGCGAAAGGAGGGCCTCCCCTGAAGATCGAAGGGCTCGGTTTGGTACGTGGAGAGAGATACGGTCACGAAGGTAGGTGGGTCCTAAACTGTTTAGGGCTTTTTAGGTGATAACCTGTACCTTGAATTGGGACAGGAAAATAAGTAATGGAGACATATTCACAGGAAAACAGCAATACGTCACTATAAAGCACTGTTTCTTGACCTTCCTAATGCTGCGCCCCATTAATACAGTACCCCCAACCATTAAATTATTTTTGTTGCTACTTCAAAACTGTAATTTTGCTACTGTTATGAATTGTAATGAAAATATCTGATATGCAGGATGTATTTTCATTCACTGGACCAAATTTGGCACAAATACCCAATACGCCCAAATTCGTATACTGGCGGGGTTGGGGAGGATTGATTTGGGAGTTGCAGTTGCTGGTGTTTATAGTTCAATTACAATCAAAGAGCATTCTGGAATTGAACCAAACTTGACACACAGAATCCCCATGACCAACAAAAAATACTGGAAGGGTTTGGTGGGCATTGACCTTGAGTTTTGGAGTTGTAGTTCGCCTACGTCCAGACAGCACTGTGGACTCAAACAATTATGGATCAGGACCAAACTTGGCATGAATACTCAATATGCCCAAATGTGAACACTTGTGGAGTTTGGGGGAAATAGACCTTGACATTTGGGAGTTGTACAATCAAAGAGCATACTGAACTCCATCAGCGATAGAATTGGGCCAAACTTTCAACACAGAACTCCCATGATCAAAAGAAAATACTGAGGAAACAGTTAAAAACTTGGTTTTTCCAGCAGGCATTTGATAACGTTTAGACAGTAACCAGAACAGATTGCCAATCACTTGGCATTTTATATCTACATTCTGTGCATTCAGCTGCTATATTGATTACATGGATCTTTTAACTGATTCTATTTTAATAGAGGTTGTTTTGTTCCATTTATATGCCTGGTTTACGTAATGCTATTATTGTTTTCACGTTGATGTATTTTATGTATTTTATGCATGGCATCTTTGTGTGCTATTTTGTAAGCGTCCCCGAGTCCCTGTGGAAGATGGTGCCGGGGTATAAATAACATGTTGTTGTTGTTATATTATTATTATTATTATTATTATTATTACAACCTTTGTATCTACTGGTACTTGAAACCATGGGTTATTTGTTGTTTTTTATTTGTTCGGTTGCTTCTGACTCTTTGTAACCTCATGGACCAGTTCACTCAAGAGCTCCCTGTTGGCGGTTGCCACCCCCAGCTCCTTCAGAGTCAAACCAGTCACTTCAAGGATAACATCCATCCATCTTGCCCTTGGTTGGCCCCCTCCCTTTTTCCTTCCATTTTCCCCAGCATCGTTGTCTTCTCCAAGCTTTCCTGTCTTCTCATTATGTGGCCAAAGTACTTCATCTTTGCCTCCAATATCCTTCCCTCCAGTGAGCAGTTGGGTTTTATTTCCTGGAGTATGGATTGGTTTGATCTTCTCACAGTCCAAGGCACTCTCAGAATTTTCCTCCAACACCACAGTTTAAAAGCATCTATGATCCTTTTCCCAGTCTTCCTTATGGTCCAGCTCTCATGTCCATAGGTTACTATGGGGAATACCATTGCTTTAACTATGCGGATCTTTGTTGTCAGTGTGATGTCTCTACCCGTCACTATTTTATTGAGATTGGTCATTGCTCTCCTCCCAAGAAGTAAACGTCTTCTGATTTCCTAGCTGCAGTGTGCGTCTGCCGTAATCTTTCCTCCAACACCACAGTTTGAAAGCATCTATCTTCCTTCACTCAGCCTTCCTTATGGTCCATGGACTATATTTGGCTGTACTTGGGCTGGAAAATATACTTTAGGAACTAGAAAGGCCCACAAACACTTCCAGGAAGAGTAAATATTTTTTTTTGGGATCTGTGGAGATTTTGTGGAATTGGTAGTTCATGGATTAAGTGGGGGGGGGCCAATGTCCAAACGTCCAATTTGAAACAACTGAACCTCCCTTTATGAGGCCCTGTGGTGCAAAAACTGGAGGGGAAAAGGGCAAATACGGTCCCAGTTTTTTTTTTTTTGGAAACACAGCCGGGACTGAGCCTGGAGGCAGGGGGACCAGCCAAGAAATCATGAGGGCTGTCTGGGAGGCAGGATCCGTAGCTAAGTGGCAGAGATGACTGGGTCACCAGCCAGATGAGCCTCCTCTGAGTGCCAAGAGCCCTGAGACTACCATCACCACCAAAAACAGCCTCTGTCCATCTCCCTGCCTCTTTGTATGACTTCCAGGGTTCATGCAAATAGGTTTACATCTATGATTCTAAAATGTAATTTGGCCAAAAGGGTGAGCATTACCTATATGACACACATATATGTTATGTCAATGTTCCAGATCAATGAGACTTATAAAACATATTGAACACCTGCAAAACATGGGCCATTTATAAAAGTCACTCTCAAATTCTGGAATGCTTCTATCAGCATTGCCTTCGAAAAATGTTCCAAATCTCTTGGAAAGACAGGCAGATAAATGCCAGCCTTCTAGAAGAAGAAAAGACTACAAGCAATGAAACTATGATTCTTCACCATCAACCTTGTTGGATGACCACATTGTCCGACTGTTTGATCACCAGCTCCCAAAGCAGTTACTTTATTTTTAAGAACAGAAAATGGAATGTCAGTGGTCAACAAAAGAGATTTCAAGATGGACTTAAAGCGAACCTTAAAAAATATGGTAAAAGCTCAAAGGACTGGGAAACTGACACTCAAACGTTACAGCCGGAGGTTAGCTGTTAACCAGTGGTACTATGAATTTTAAAAAGGTGCAAATACCAGGCAAAAAGAAGAAATGTTCTAAGAGAAATGCACATCAAGCAGATCTTTGTTGTGATTGCCTTCCATCTGGAAATCTATGTTCTTCAAAGACATTTACAGACCAAGCGCTAAAACTCTGCCTCTGGAAGACAATCATATTCAGCCACAAATGATCACCCATGATGGCAAAACATCTTTATTCTGATTGTTAATCACCAAGCAAAAAAAGAAAGGGTGAGAAATATGTGTTGTGACAATCAGATGTCTTCCAGCACTCAAGGAATGCTTTCTTCTTTTAATGTAACAATGCATGATCTGAATTTGGCCGACTTTTCATTTTACAAGGAAACCTAGCACTATGAACTCTCACCTATATTCTCTCTATTGGTGTGCTTTATGACTGCAAAGCACGTAACAGTTTGTAGTATCTGATCCCTAGTGACTCTTAGGGACCTTCTAAATGAGCACAAAACCCTCTAAAAATGGGCATTTCAAATTCCCCAGTTTCTAGTGGGATGGAGGCCATATGGCTTGCCAAAACCCTGCCAGTTTGCCAGGGTGGCAACTAGATACCCTCCTGCGTTGACCAGCCCCCATTTTAGAAGTAAAGTTACCAGAGAGTCCTGCTTGAGGAGCTTTGGAGAGGAAAGGAGGAATTTTCTCCTTCCCCTCTCCAAAGCTTCTGTTGTGTAATTTTGACACGACAGGAGATCTTTAAGACCTGCATTTCCAGGCCTCTCCTGTAAATTTAATACCAAAGCAGGGGGGCTGGGGGGGGGGAGGGTTGCAATGCCATCCTGTTTCTTTGAGTCCTGCAGCCTGAAGAACCGGGATGGCTGTGGGAATTTGACCCTCAGGATCGCAAAAGGCGATCCTGAGAGTCAGTCCCCACAGGCCCAATACCCAGGATGGTGCGGACCTTCCTGGAAGGTCTGCACCTTCCCAGATATTTTTGTTTTAACCCAGAGTAAACCTGGAAATCCAAGTTTATTCTGGGTTGAATCGGATTAGCCTGAAGCATTGTTTTCACACTCCAGAGCCCAGGTTTTGTGCCTGTGTCGAAGGACCCTCCCTTACATTTTACCAGATCCTGTCCTATCTATCTTACCTGCACAGACTCTTGACAGAAGAAACAAAGACTCAGCACATCTTATTGCAGAGAAGCTGAAAGTTCTGTAACAAGTCCTACTTGTCAGAACAGTTTGTACTCTGCAAAACATTTTGCTTAGCTGATCTTGCAAAAGAAAAAGCGGGGGCATGGCTGTTAATGTGCTTTGCTTGCAACTGGCAAGCTAACATCTTTTTTTTCCCTCGTAGGTGAGCTTATATTATTAAATTTTGAAACATACAAATTAATTCACAACATGCAACCACTGATTTATTTTCTGTCTCCAACTTCAAGAGATGCTTGTATAATTTTCTAATTATATTATTATCACCCTTAGGCAGTTCTGAATAAAATTGTCTCTTGCCTCTTTAATCAATACTTTCTTATCTTTCTTAAATCTCTCCATGAATTGTAAATAAGGAAAACAATTAAGATATATGTCTTTCTTTTAAAATGTCTCTCTTGACTTAAATTGACAATATCTTGATCCAGATACCAAAAAAATCTGGTTTTTAACAGTTTTCTCTTTTAAAAAGCTTCCTTCCTGTGATAAGATCAATAATATAGGGGAAAGCCTTTGCTTGTGTTAATACCAAACTTGCAGGAGTGCTTTTGTGATGCTTTAACTTTTTCATACTCATGCTGGCAAGCACTGACATTTTGCAGGGCTCCTTTTAACTATCATAACCTTGGGATGTTGTAGGTTTTTTCAGGGCTATATGGCCATGTTCTAGAGGCATTTCTCCTGATGTTTCGCCTGCATCTATGGCAAGCATCCTCAGAGGTAGTGAGGTCTGTTGGAACTAGGAAAAAGGGTTTATATATCTGTGGAATGACCAGGGTGGGACAAAGGGCTCTTGTCTGTTGGAGCTAGGTGTGAATGTTTCAACTTACCACCTTGATTAGCATTTGATTGCCTGGCAGTGCCTGGAGCAATCTTTTGTTGAGCGGCCCTGGTCATTCCACAGATATATAAACCTTTTTCCTAGTTCCAACAGACCTCACTACCTCTGAGGATGCTTGCCATAGATGCAGGCGAAACGTCAGGAGAAATGCCTCTAGAACATGGCCATATAGCCCGAAAAAACCTACAACAACCCAGTGATTCCGGCCTTCGACAATACATATCATAACATTATTTGTTTTGAGGAAGAATCAACTCACCAGTAAAGTAAAAATAAGAATACACATACAAATCGATCACCTACAAATACAAATTGATCAAAGAATAACAATTGATCAAAGAACCTTTAGTCCAATGTTCTTCCAGGTTGATGCATTTAAAAGCAATGATTCCACTTTTATGTTTCTTCCTTCAGTAAGGTAATCTGACAGGTTTTCCCATTTTCTGTCTTTTCACTTCAGGGCAAGGTGGTTCTGAAATAACTCTCTGGATGGACAGTGCCGCTCTGTCTGGAATTAACCAGTATTCTCAATGATCAAAGAAACAAGTTGCGGCACTGCACCTAAGTGAAAACAAAGACAGGAATGAGATGCAACAGTTCTAAGAAACATTGTGAGTGTGCACAGATGCACTTATTTACAAATCCATGTTCGTATGGTGGTTGAAAGATCTGCAAAAGGAATGCTATATCATGTGAAGAAACCCACAACCCACACAGATTATGCCTCTGGGCCATGCACGTCATCACGATATCCATGAATTTACAAAACTGGGTCCACCACTAAGTGGAATGAAGCACTAGATGCTTTGAACAGCAGAGCATGGTTGAATGTCAGAGATATGTAAACAACATGGCTTATCCTAGGTCTGTTGCTTGCAAGTGTTAATTGAGCAATGCTGCCCTATTGCAAATGTTAGTTCAAATGCCAATCTGGTTGTCTTGAGATTTGTCAAGTCAGTACTTGCAGACCAAGTAGAGTTACTAGTACCATCATTGCCAAATGTATTCTACCTAGAAGCTACTAATTCTTTAGGCAGGATAACATTTTTAGCTGCTTCTAGCCACCCAACATGCTGTCAAAAGGGAAAGTATTCCATGGTGTTATCCTCACAACCCTGTGAAGTAGCTAGAGGAGAAGTAGGGAAGAGTTAGGCACAAAGATTTGAACAATTCCAGTATTCCTACTCATAAACTAGAACTCTTAATCCTACAGCAAGAGAAGGAAATACCTTCCTTTCTTGATGTAGAACTGAAACTACCAGCATTCTCCAACATTGCCTATGTTGGTTAGAGCTACTGGGAAGTCTACACTGACAAATATCTGGAGGGCTGTGTTTTGGTGAGTTGTAAAAGGATCAGCACCAAGTATATGTGTGTGTTAAAGAAACTTTATACTGTTAATTATGATGTGCAACTGCTAATCTAAGTCAGCAAGTAGGTTTGAGCCAAGCCCACTGGGGTATAACTGTATGTGGCGTAGAATACAGTTCAGCTCTATGTTCAAAAGCCTTTACTCTGAGGAGTCTTTTGGCTTACAGCGTTTTGCTCAACCATTTGCGCTGCTCATTTGAAAGGAGATGAAGAAGCCAAGCTACTTGCGTTCTGTATTTCTTACAATGACTATAGGTTTGTTGCACCATTTATTTTGTATGCAACACTGCAAGTTTATGTTTTGACTCTGCTTTTGTGCAAAGTTATTGTGTCTTTTGCATTGGACCAAACTAAATTCCACTTAAGCACAATAATTCACCTTAATCCAGGAAACTGTGACCTCCACCAACAATGGACCAGGATCAAACTTGTTACAAAGAAGCCCCATAACCAACTTAACACACTGGAGGGGATTGGGGAGAATTGACCTTCATTTCAGAGTGTTTTAGTTCACCCACATCCAGAGAGCACTGAACCCAGCCGATGATGAATCTGGACCAAACTTGGCACGCAGACCCAACATGGGCAACTGTGAATACTGTCTGGGTTTGAGGGTGATTGCCCTAAGAATCTGGGAGTTGTAGTTCACCCTTACCTAGATATCATTCAACCTAGCTGATGTCATAGCTAACCTTGAATAGTGGCAGGGTTTGGGAAGGATTGACCCATGACTCTGGGAATTGTAGTTCACCCAGATCCTTATGCATTGTCATTGAAAAAAAAGAAAAGAACAGACTGTCTTTTTCTAATAAATGGCGTTATACATTATCAAACTGATATTACAAACTTCACAAAACAAACAATGCCTTTCTCAAATAACCTGGGCACTGCCGGGTCCCCAAGCTAGTAGTATATAAATTTGAATGCAAGCTATGGTATTCTCATTGGAACATAATTGTCCATTATGTGCATAGAATGCTAGATTAGATGGACACTTGGTCTGCCCTGAGAGGCACTGGTTCTTAGGTTCACCTTATGCCCATCCTGGGTCCCCTAGGGGAGATAGAACAGAATACAAATAAAGTCTTTTTCTTATTATTACTAGCCATCCTCTGCTACGCATTGCTGTGACCCAGTCTGTGTATGTGTGTTTTGTGTGTGTATGTGTATATTTTTTCTATATGTATTTGCGTATATATA